CCTTCGTCCTAGCGGGAACCATGATATCGTCGAGATATAGTTTAACTCCAGGAATTCCTCCAACCATACTATCAATAGTCCTTTGGAACGCGCCAGGGGCGAACTTGATTCCTGGTGGCAGACGGTTGTATTTAAACAATCCTCGATGCGTGTTAATTGTAAGGTACATTTGTGATTCCGCCTCAACCGCGACTTGCAGGTAGGCATCAGACTGCCGGTCAGCAAAAATATCATCTGAATGTGGAAATGGGTGAGCATCTGATTCCAGTGCATTATTCAGCCCCGTAGAATAGTCGCCACAAATTCGAACAGAAATGTTGCCGGATTTGCGGACCTCAACAATCGGAGTTGCCCAGTCAGAAAAAAAAACTTTGCTGGCGAAATGATTCCGTTTTCTTGCAGTCGTTGAAGTTCGGCATCGACCTTAGGAACTGCTGCATAAGCCACCGGTCTTTTTGGACAGTACACGGAACGGACGTCGTGCTTCGAATAGAGTTTTACCCTCGTTTTAGTGTGCTCTGGAACACTACAGGTAACTTCGAGCGTGATCATTGGACAGTTTCTTCCGGTTTCTGGAGAGCATCGGCGTTGACCAGCGAGTTTAAAGGAATCGACCACAGATCAAATAACTCGATTGCTTCAATTCCCAGGACATTCAAATCAGGGTTTGATGACACGTAGCCAACTCCTGTATTCTCACACCTCGGATGGTTAATTCTGCGGAGAACTCACCAAAAATGCTGCTCTTGTCTCCACAAGCGCTGATTGCCGTTATCCCAGTTTCCTTGATGTTTGGTCTTTCGATTGCTTCCAACGTTTGTGTTGATATGATCGCGAACTTCAAATTGATCGCTTTTCCGTCCAATTTATTTCGTTTCTCACAAGGAATGTGACAGCACACATAGATACCGAAAGGGCACACATAGGCTTCCGTCCATACCATTGACTGTATGGGGTTCCTTGTATCGATCTGGTTGGCAGATGATTCTGCCAGTAGTTCGCCGTTACAACAGATTCTCCCCAGAAACGGTTATCCAAACCAGCATCGCTGAGCATACATCTGAAAATTTGCACGAAGTTCGAAGTAGCACGTTTTGCTGAGGAGAGTACGGCGCTGTTAGTTGTTATGCCATTCCATTTTGTTAAAAGTCCTTTCCATGGCACTCTCCACCTCGATCAGATCGTTTTCTTCCAAAATGTGTTTTGGTCATTTCAACGAAATCTTCTAGCTTCCAACGCTTCGATCTTCTTTCGCAAAATGTAGACAGTTGTGTATCGGCTATCCTGCCTAGAATCGCATATCAGTCCCATATGGAAAAAAGGAGGCATTGAGAAAATGGCATTCGATGTTACTAAGTGCAATTTCCATGTACATATTTGAAAAATCATAGCCAACTTATTGGTTTTTTTTTTTTAGTTATAATCAGTTGCAATGAAGTTTGCATGTTTTGTTATACCAGCGAACAATATGGTAATTCAAAAAGCAAAACAGTAACTTGACTTCTGGACGATGGAATTTCCGAATGAGACTGATATGCGATTACTTTGCTAGATCACATTTTCGCGATCAAAGTCCGTAGTTTTATCGCATAATATCTATCGTCGTTATCTCAAAATTTATGAAAGTCCCAATAGAACTGATATACGATTCTAGTATCGTATCTAGTATAGTCGTCCATGAATGTCAGGAAGCACTTTCTGCCCCCAACAGTTGCTGTTCTACCAACTCCATCACTCCTGTTGACTTGTTCTGCGATACCTTTGGAATCGGACTTCTCAGCATCTCGCCCTTCTAGCAAACTTCTATCGTGTAGAACGTGACTTGAAAATTATTTTGTACCAAACGCTAGACTGACAATAAGTGTGATTTAATGTCCAGAACAAACAGTACGTCATCCAGTGTAATCACACGGCCATTCTCCCGGATCCACAACCTTTTGATCTTGCCTTCATCCCGTTGGCCATCCATACGTCTTCCTGGATACTTTCGTCCAACTCTTGAAAGAATTTACGGTGCTTAGCGATGTGGCACGTTGCTTCGGAATGCAGTATCCACTGTCTGTCCGATATCGATGTGCTTCCGGTTAGAAACATCCAGATCTTTTTACGGCATTTGATTTCTCCTTCTTATTCACCTTATCCAATTCTTGAACTTCTCACCTTTGGCTTTATGATGTCCAGCTTGTTTGCATAGAAAACACGTATCCTGACGTACCTCGACCGGTCCACCGTATCCGACGCTTTCGTTTCTGCCATTCATCTAGGAAAAATTGAGGTAAAATTCCCGGGTAAAATAAACCCCATTTATGTTACAGCTGCTAGTTGATATGATGGCGAAACATTGCTGACATACGTTGCACTTTGAACGTACTATGTGAATGGAAGCTACAATCTGTTTAATGAAAGTAATTTGAAATTTATAAAATTACAAAACAATTTTGGCAGAAAACCACACAAGAAAAATGTTATTTCATGAAACAGGTGGTATTTCTGAACACAACCAAAACGATTTGATTGATGCAAGTTGCGAAGTACATCCTTCATACTTCAGGTCGATAGCTCAACTGGCCTGTTTACTAAGAAAGGGAGCTATTTTCCACAATGCTATGTGTTACTCTAAGTGAGGCTTAATGCGCCCCGCGAATTGTAGTGTAAGGTAAAGCCTAAATGTATGCTACCTTGGCATGAAATCAGCATGTGCATTTTTCCTCGTAGTATTTCGAAAACAGGTTTTTGATGGCCTTTTTAATTTTATCAGTTCAAATAAGAATTTAGCCATTTTATCAATTGTAATATCTTGACAATAGCCTAATACAATTTTCTGATGGCATTGCACTTAAATATTGATTCACTTTGTGGATTAAACGGATATCTTCCTTAGCATGGGCATTTTACCCCCATCTTAGTTATAAGTTTTCTTTTTACTATGTTTAACTTAAGGTCTTTATCCGGTCTCGCCTCCAAAGCTATCACGAGCGTTTCATATTTCTCCGGAAAACTACTGAATGATAATGCCACCAGCCATTGCTCATCGAAAATCTTCTTGGGTTTCAAGTCATTCAGCTTCTCAAAAAACTCGGTGAGCTTCCATGTTTACACGCTATTCTAGGCGCAACTGGCAAATTTTCCGCATCACGGTCACCTATGTCTTCAATGTTCGCTTAACATGGAATCAAAAAGGGATTCCCTAATGTAGGAAACACTATTAGGTCCATAATACTCTTGACTTCCCTGGACATATAATATCGCGTTGCTTACCACACAATATACTAATTCATGCATTGGTTGGCATAGAAAGGTCTCAATCAATAACTGAAGAAGTGCTTCAAAGAACACTAACATGAGAGAAGGCGAAATCTCGTATGAGCGTCGAAGTCAAGTAGAGAGAGTGCATTGTTCGGGTTGAAATAATCTCGTAGTCCCACGTCAATATCGCGATAAAAAAACTCAAACATTGAGTAGTTTAAAAAAGTGTTCAGCATTTCCGGCAATACAAAGCATTTAAGAAAAGCATTGATCCCGTCCCGTTCCGTCAGGCAACTTGTCTCCCTGTGATTATCATCATCAGCTCACTGTTGTTGTTGGGCTGATGTTGATGACCGTGAGTTGCAGCGGATTTCTTTGTATTGGTTCATTCGCTCCCGTACCGCGATTGCATCCATCGATCATCATTCATCAGATTGAACATCCATTTGTATCGCATTTTCGTCGGTCGGTCGACGTCGCGAGTTCGAGCATGAGCAGCAGCTGTTTCCATTCTGGTTTTGATCGATGTGTTGTGTGAAGAAAATTCTACTCACTACTACGGTCTCACTTCTCACCGCACCGACGTCGCTCGCCTTCTGCTGTGCACCGTTGCGTTTCGTTTGCGTTCAACACACAAGAAAATCCCTTTGTTGCCATTTACCACCAACTCACTAACACATTCTCAGTACACTACTGACTTTGGCTGCTTTGCTGCGTTCGACTTCTTCTTGCATCAGGATGACGACAACGACGAACGAAACCAAGGAGACGACGGACGGGAACGGCATCAGGCGGAATGGACATCGTACCTTTTTCCCGTGTGCGTCTCCTGCTGCTGGCTCATTCCATTCCGGGGGAAACAAGACACAGGGAAATGAACTTTCTTTTTTCACCGAGGAATTGTTAATCACCACCCCGAGGGCGTAATGACGAATGGGACAAAACCCAAACTCACTAGCTCAGTGTTGTGTATGGTCACTATTTTCCGACGAATGGGGCGCCATGATCATTTTCCATTTCGTTCTTGTAACTAATAAGAAAATAAACTGTTCGCTATCCACAATTTTCTTCTGCTATCTGCGCTCTCTGGGGCGTTGGACACAAAAAATAAACTTTTTTTTTCCAGAACACTCACCAACTTTGCACTGAACCGAAAAAGATATGGCTTTACTTGCCTTCGAAACACTCAACAGCACAAAAACGTAACTTATCCTTGGAAGATCTTCATCTCACTACTTCTATAACTGCTCTAGGCACTATTCTTTTTCGCGTTTTTCCCTCGTTCGACCGTCCGTCCGTCGTCGACGACGTCGCGAGAAACAATCGAAAAACGAGGCTGTAGAAAAAATCTGCTATTGCGAAAACAGCACCAAATTCAGACATGAGAGCGAACTACGCACACCACACCACACCACTACACTCACACAACGTCAACACAACAATCGCCAGTCGTCGTACCGTGTGTGTCATGACGACGAGAAAATAAAAATACACACCAAAAAGCGAAGCAAGCGAGAGCGATCCATTCCTAATTTCGCACAGGAATCGCAATACCGTTTACGGTAATAATCCCCGCATGCACCTCCGAAAAAAAGCAAAGCAGAAAAAATATATACTGTCAGCCACCCATCCCATTTCCATCATCATCATCGATGCTTCTGTTGCTGCGAGGATGGGTCAACTTTTTCGGTCGTTTCCTCGAAGAATCCCGCCGTGGTTTTATTTTATTTTTCCACACCCATTCAATCGCATACCGAGTTGGAACTGTGTGAGGAACCAGCGAGGCTTGGCGATCGTCGGATGGTCACCAGGGCCATCGCATAATCGCGGCCACCAGTTTTTCCAGAAACTCCTCCTGCTCCTGCTACTCCTTCTCACCACCACAGCAGTAAAACTTGTTCGGGAAAATTTTCACAATCAAATAGAAAAAAAAAACTTCTTTCACTACACTACCCGACGTTATTCCACGTAACTTTCGAAAAGGAAAAAAAAAGGTTTTTCTTTCGTTAGTCCGTCCGAATTCACACACGATGCGCGACTTTTTCTTCCTTTTTGTGCGGATCCAACACGGACGACAACGCGAAAAGAGCTGATGCGCGATGCGATGATGATGGCCTGCTTTTGAAAGCTCTTCTTTTGGACATGGATGTCTTTTCAGTCAGCCAGCCCAGAGTTCACTTTTGGACTTCTTTGCCACCAGCTAGACAGACGACCGACGGAACGAGATTGTTGCTGCTATTACTGCTGCTGCCACCATCACACACACTCTACCAGAGGTGGCAACAGTACATTTTTTGAAAAACCATCGTCCAGAGCGAAACAAAACAGCCAGCACACGGGCGACCGTGTATAACTACATTCCAAGCGAACAGCGGAGATAGAGAATAAATAAAATCTCGCAGCCTGATTTTTCCAAACAGTTTATTGTAATGAAATTTTAGCTGCAGGCTTGCGTGTGACAGTAAATTACCAACTCCCTTATTTACGCATAATTTTAACATCAATGGTTATGAGTGGTCAGTCTTCATTCTTATCTTTTAATTCCATGCAATAAACATCAAATAAATGCAGTAATTAGCCAGAAATCAGCAAAATTCTACACGACATAAATTTATGTCGCGTGCGCCGCCGGTCTTGTCTGCTTCTTTGAGCGAAAATGTTCTGTCGCTGGCAGAAAACAGTTTAGAAATGTCATGACATTTTTGCCGCTTGCCAGTTTGTTTTTGTGTGTCGTCACAATGGTTATCGCAAAATGTATCAAATGTTAAGGAAAAAATGTTAAACTCCAGGACTCGTGCCACCACTGCACTCTACACACTACTGAAACTGAATGCGGAGCTGACTCGCGGACTGTCTGCTGTCTCGCACTGTCTGGCTCTGGACGACTTGCGACTTCTTCTTTTGGTACAGTCTTGATGTTTCTCACCGCAACCAACTCGCAACTCGCAAGCTGCCTCACCACGCAAAAAGATCTCATCTGGATTCCCCGAACGCACACTGGCAAAATAGAAAAAGTCGCGTGCGCGGGAGTGTGTGTGTGCGAGGGCGAATTTTTTTTGTTTTTTGACAGAATGCACTTGGAGAAAAAGTGCAGCTGAAAACGCGTGATGCAATTTTTTGACAGTTCGTTATAAAAATACACGCTAAGTCCCCAGTTCCCTATTTATAGGTAAAAAGCTACCCAGAATGAAGTTCGCTCAAAAAATTTGCTAATCTAAATAGATTAAAATTTAACTTTATTCGATTCTCTAATAAAAAAAATACCATGCACGAACGATAACTCAAATGATAGAACCTTTCCACAAATGGTTGGGATGATAGCCTGAATACGTCGTTAAGCAAAATAGCCACACACATTTCATTAGAGCTGCGTTTATACCAAAGGGGTGGTCCAAGATCTATATGAATTATAGGTTCCACAGTATAGTTGCTATATTCATAGTCTGGCGCCAAGAGAGAGGAGCCAGCTCAAATGACAGATGCTTTGTTTTGGTTGTCTTCTTCTTCTTCCTTTTTGTTGAAAAAATTGTTGATGGAAAGAATCATTCAAGCGAGGATGCGCGTTTGTCACTCGGTTTGTTGATATAGTTTTGCCGTTGGAGTGTTCAAACTTGTCGTGAACTGTATGTTGTGAGCAAGTATCTTACTGCATATTGCTTAGAGCTATTGGGTTCGTATTAAACGGGTTTGATTTTGTGAATTCTGGTGATTAGGAGGAGGTTAAAAGTGATACACAGCAGATAAAATGCGTTGTCAAGTGAAGCGTTGCGGCCGGAACAAGAAAACCCACCCGAATGTGTTGTTTCACCGGTTTCCAAACGATCCATTGCTTCAAGCACGGTGGGTTGAGTTTTGTAATGTAGGAGCTGATTTTATTGTCACAGATGCAATGAGAGTACTGGGCAGAGCTCGTCAGAAGCCATTTGTTTTTGTTACACGGTCCATATTTTATTTTTTTATTTGTATGGAAGAAAGCATCAACCAGCATTTTGAAAATAACCTCCAGTTAACCAAGCATCAATTTTCTTCTCTTGAAAAGTCTTTAAAATCATTACCTTTGGAAATTCCTGGTTGCCACAATTTAAAAACCAAAATTATCAAAAGGTTTTTGAGATTCAAAGCAAACTCAAATCGTACGAAGAAATCGCGTAAGCGAAAATATGATAGTCGAAGTATGCTAAATTGAAACAAAAACTTCAAATAAGAATCAAGAGATAACACAATAAATATGTCTTTATTTCACAAATTAACAATTATTTTAGTCAGAAATCTGAAATAGACCACCCACTCCTTCACAGTAGTCGCCAAATAGTCAATGTATTGTGCAAAAAAAAAATGGTTATTTTTTAGGAGCTCGGAGTAGCAGCGTACGAATACTTGAGCAACATTGTGCATTAGGTACGACTTCTAGTTTTTTCGGCATCGAAATTATTGTTGCTTGCTCCGATTTTCATACTTCGAGTGGATAGACGATAATCAATTTTTAATTACGTAACGATTGTTCACTTCAATCCCTACAAGTTGTCTCTATTTCAATGGAAAATAAATCCTTTGCGTGAAAACTACCCTCCCTGCTTCACAATAAGTAACAGAAACGCCGAACGTCCAAAAACATTTGTATTCTGCACCGTCATTAACTGCCATTTCAAAAAAACTATCTTGAAAAAAAAAAACAATACGCAGATTTTTTTCCGATTAACAATACTTCCCCCACTTTATTGAATCAAAATTTCGGTTCGCAGTGACAGATCATGACTGGTTCGCATTGACGTTTACGCGATCGGCTTCAGAGCTAGCTGGCGCCTCTCTCTTGGGTCTGGCGGATAGAATCTCGTAAGCCAATTGAGCTGTCAAATGCGGAACCAATCGAGCAAATCACGACCAACAACAGAAAAGAGCACATCAGCTATTGCGAACAAAACTTCGGAAACCCTTTTCTCTTAACTCAAGGCTCGCCTACGCAAACTAACACCATCTTTGGGTTGAGGAAAGTTTCCCTTATCCGATGATGCCGGTAATTTGCGTTCGATTGGCGAGGAAAGAATATTCAACGTTTTGTTTATAAAAGTTGATAGTACCTTTTCAATTGTTGGTTTAAAATATATTGAATTGGTTCCGCTTTTTGATAGATCGAAATCCTATCCACCAGACTATAAATATAGCGACTATAGTTCCACAGGAGGAAGAAATGTTAGTTTGTGTACTAAAATGAACTACACATTAATCAGTTGATCGAAAGCTCTCGTTTCGTACGGTCGCATTCGTTTCTCATTTTACTTCGCGAGGTACTTATATACCGTTTTTCAAATCGCTTTTTGAGTAGTAAACAGTTATTCCCATCTAACCGGGATTGTTTCGGAGCAGGCCGGAAGGCGTTCCAACGCGTTCTATTCGATTACGTGGAGTGCAATCAAAAGAAGTTTCTAGTGATTGAACCCCAAAAAGAACCATCCGCAAGAGTTATTTCGTTGTGATACAACGGAAAAGACAATCGGCTATTATCAGTGCCCTGTTTGCCGACGAATTAGTGTGTGCTTGTGTAGTTACGAAAAAGACTATTCTACTGTTCGTTCGCATCTTTCTGGGATACTGCTGTTCGTACCTATATCGTCACGGTATCGCTGCTCATTTGTGCATTAGAGCATCTCCACTGCGGGCGTTATAAAGTACCATTCTGGATTTCATCGGGTGAAAACCGTCTCACCATCCTTTCCCGACCATGAAGTCGGGATGGGACCGACCCCCCGATGGGGACCCTGGTGGTGGAGCAAAAGGTGGTAATACGATTGATGGATCATACAGGGGCCGTACAGTTCCTGAATGGATGGACCCGGAAAACGTTTATGGCCCACTGACGATTCTACGCTTGAAACCAGTCGCACCAGCTAAACTACCAACCAATCCGGTTGTAGTTAGTATATCCGTGACAGAGTGTTGCGGACGCATTGAGGGTGCCTTCCCTGAATATCGAGGAACTCAATATGCGCTGAAGGTCCGGAAACCAGAGCAGGTAGAACAACTGAAAGCATTGAAGGAATTATATGATCACACTCCGATCTGCATCGATGAGCACCCGATTCATAATTATGCGAAGTGTGTGATTAATAGCCCTGAGGTTGTAGACCTCACTGAAACTGCAGTGAAAGACATCGTTGCATCGCAAGGCATATCATCCGTTCGGAGAATAACCAGGAAAGGCAACGAGGAAAATAGGATCAACACACCTATGTTAATCCTATCCGTATATGGTACTGTGATCCCACAATACGTATATCTCGGTTTTCTCCGCGTCCAAACCAGGCCCTACTACCCGGCTCCCATGCAGTGTTATAAATGCTGGGATTTTGGACATACCAAAGTGCGCTGTGTGAAAACCGAAATTTGTGGCACGTGTGCTGGTGACCACGAGGTGGTTCGAGGAATCCACTGCCACCTTCCACCACAATGCCCAAAGTGTGACACCGATAAGCATCCTGTAGCAAGTAAAAAATGTCCAGTTTACGTCGCTGAAAATGAAATAGCTAAACTACGTGTGGACCTGGGTTTAACATACGGTGCTGCTAAGAACTACCTACAGAGAACCAAAAATAATTCGCAGCCCGGCCAAGTTGAAAATACCAGCAAAGCAAATCAGGAAATTTTCAAGAGGTTAACAGAAATGGAAGAACGTCTTAACAAGAAGGATATACAAATGAAACAACAGAACGACGAATGGAACACAAAATTACAGGATCAACAAGTGGTCACGGACCGGCTCCAACATGACCTCAACATGTACAAAAATCTTTACCGAACGACGAAGAAACAGCTTAACGAGGTTACCCAACAATACATCGCTCTACTGAAGGAAACTGGAAGGGATTCTAACTCAGTTAAGCTTCCAGCCTCCCAGGGTACGAGAGAGTCCAGCCAACCCAACAAAGACTCCCAACGACAACAACAACAAACACAACAACAAACACAACAACAACAACAAAAACAAAACAAGGCTCGTAAGAGTCGTAGCCGTAGCCGCAGCAGAAGCCGAAGCCGCACCAACAGGAAAAATGAAAAACCGAGAAGCAGATCGTCTAAGCGACTGCTTTCACCCGGCGACCCAAAAACCAACAAACCTCACAAAATACGACCTTCAGATGACACCAGTAATCGACTCATTCCGCCTGACTATCATTCTAGCCCGACGGATGATGATCTCAATATGTAGAAACCACCAGCTTGATTCGTCTCCTCGCTCCTATCACTACACACCAGTTTTTTTCCATAAT